TTTTTAAAATTTAAAATTTGGGGGTTTTTTTCCCTTTTTAAAACCAAAATTTTTTTTTTGGGGGGGGTTTTTTTTTTTAAAAAAAATTATTTGGGGGAAAAAAAAATTTAAAATTAATTTTAAAAAAAAAATTTGGCCCCAAAGGGTTTTTTTTAAAAAAAAAAATTTTAAAAAATTTTCCCCTTTGTTTCCCCGGGGAAGGGGAAAACCCAAAAATTTTTTTCAAATTTCAAAAAATTTTAAATTTTTTTTAAAAAAAAAAATTTTTTTTTTCCCCCCCGAACCGGTTAATCAAAATTAAAATTTTTTTTTTTTTAAAAATTTTTTTAAAAAAAAACCCCCAAAAAAATTTTTAAAAAAAAAACCCCCTTTTTGGGGGGGGGAAAAACCTTTTCCCCCCCCAAAATTTTCCCCCGTTTGGGGAAAACCCCCCGGGGGGTTTTTTTAAAATTTCCCCCCTTTTTTTTAAAAAAAAAGGGGGAAAAAAATTTTTAAATTTTTTAACTTTTTTTGGGGGTTTTTTTTAAAATTTTAAAAAAAAAGGGTTTTTTTATTCCGGGAAAAAAAAGGAAGGGGTTTTTTCCCAAAAAAAGGGGGCCCCCCAAAACCCCCCCCCCCCCCCTTTTGGGCCTTTTAAAAACCCCTTTTTTTAAAGGGGGCCCCCAAAAAATTTTCCGCCCCCCAAACCCGGGGGGGGAAAAAATTTTTCCCCCCCTTTGGGGGTTTTTTTTTAAAAAAAGGGGGGGGGGAAACCCCAAAAATTTTTTTTTAAAATTTTAACCCGGGGGGGGGTTTTTTTAAACCCCCTTTAAAAAATTTTTTCCCCCCCCCCCCTTTGGAAAAAATTTTAAAAAAAAAACCCCCCGGGCCCGGGTTTTTTTAAAAAAAAAAAAACCTCCCCCAAGGGTTTTTTCCCCCCCCCCCCCCCCCCCCCCCCCCCGGGTTTTTTTTCCCCCCCCCCCCAAAACCCCCCCTTTTTTAAACCCTAAAAAAAATTAAAAAAACCCAAATTTAAAAATTTTTTTCCAAAGTTTTTCCCCCCCCAAAAACCCCCCGGGAAACCCCCCGGGCCCCCCCCCCGGGGAAAAAAACCCCCGTTTTTAAAAAAATTTTTAAAAAAAAATTTTTTTTTTAATTTTAAAAAAAATTTTTTTTTTTTTTTTTAAAAAATTTTGGGAAAAAAAAAAAGGGGGGGGGGGGGGAAAAAATTTTTTTTTTTTTTTTCCCCTTTTCCCCCCTTTTTTTTGGGGGTTGGGGCTTTTTCCCCCCCCCCCAAAAAGGGCCCCCAAAACCCCCCCTCCTTAATTTTTCCCCCTTAAAAAAAAGGGGGGGCCCCCCCTCCCCCGGGGGGGTTTTCCCCCCCCTCCTTTTTTAAAAAATTTTAATTTTTCCTTTTTATTTTTTTTTTTTTTTTTTTTTTTTTTTTTTTTTTTCTTTTCCCTTTTTTTTTAAAAAATTTTTAAAATTTTTTTTTTTCCCCCCCCCCCGGGGGGGGGGTTGGGGTTTTTTTTTTTGGGGTTTTTTTGGGGGTTTTTTTGTTTTTTGTTTTTTTTTTTTTGGGGGGTTTTTGGGGGGTTTTTTTGGTTTTGGGGGTTTTTCCCCCCAAAATTTTTTTTTGGTTCCCTTTTTTTTTTAAATTTTTTTTTTGGGGGGGGGAAACCCCCCCCGGTTTTTAGGTTGTGTTGGGCCCCCCTCCCCCCCCCAAATTTTTCCCCCCCGGGGGGGGGGGGCCCCCCCCCCTTTTTTTTTTAAAATTTTTTTTCCCCCCTTAAAAAATTTTTTTTTTTTTTGGGGTTTTTTTTTTGGGTTTTTTTTTTTTTTCCCCCCCAAATTTTTTGGGGTTTTTTTTTTGGGGGGGTTTTTTTTGGGGGGGTTTTTTGTTTTTTTTTTTTTTTTTTTTTTTTTGGGGGGGGGGGGGCCCCCCCTTTTTACTTTTTTTTGGGGTTTTTGGGGGGGGGGTTTTCCCAAAAAATTTTTTTTGGGGAAAATTTTTTTTTAATTTTTTTCCTTTTAAAAAATTTGGTTTTTTTTAAACCCCCCCCCCCTTTTTTAAATTTTTTTGGAAAATTTTTTTTTTTTCCCCAAAATTTTTTTTTTTTTTTTTTTCCCCCCCCCTTTTTTTTTTTTCCCCCCCCCCTTTTTTTTTGTTGGGGGTTTTTTTTTTTTTTTTTTTTTTGTTGGGGGGTTTTTTTTTTTTTTGGGGGGGGGGGGTTTTTTTTTTTTTTGTTTTTTTTGGGTTTTTTTTTTTTAATTTTTTTTTGTGGGTTTTTTGGTTTTTTTTTTGGGTTTTTTGGGGGGGGCCCCCGGGGCCCCCTTTTTTGGAACTTTTTAAATTTTGGGGCCCCCGGGATTTTTTTCCCCAAATTTTTTTTTTCCCCCCCCCCCCTTTTTTTTGGGGGGTTTTTCCCCCCCCCCTTTAAAAAAACCCCCCCCCGGGGCCCCCCCCAAATTTTTTTTTTTGGGGGCCTTAAAAATTTTTTTTCCCCCCCCAAAACCCCCCCCGGGGTTTTTTTTTTTTTAAAACCCAAAAAATTTTCCCAAAACCCCCTTTTTTTTTCCCCGTTTTTCCCTTTTTTGAAAAACCCTTTTTGGGGGCCCCTTTTTTCCCCCCCCCGGGGGGCCCCCTTTCCCCCCCACCCCTTTTTTGTTTTAAAATTTTTAAAAATTTTCCCCCCTTTTTTCCCCCCCTTTTTTTTTCCCCCCTTTTTTTTTTTTTTCCGGGTTTTTTAAAAAAATTTTTGGGGTTTTTTTTTTTTTTTTGGGGGTTTTTAAAACCCCGGGGGGTTTTTTTGGGGGTTTTTTCCCCCCGTTTTTGGGGTTTTTTTTTTTTTTCCCCCCCTTTTTAAAAAAATTTTTTTTTTTTAAAAAAATTTTAAAATTTTTTTAAAATTTTTTTTTTTTTTTTGGGGCCCCCTTTTTTTTCCCTTTAAAAACCCCCCGGGTTTTTAAATTTTTTTTTCAAAAAACCCCCCCCCCCTTTTTTTTTTTGGGCCCCCCTTAAGGGCCCCTTCCCCGCCCCTTTTTTTTTCCCCTTTTTTTTTTGGGCCCCCTTTTTTTTCCCCCCCCTTTTCCGGGCCCCCCTTTTTTTTTTTTTGGGAAATTTTTTTCCTTTAAATCCGGGTTTCCCCCCCCCCCCTTCCCCCTTTTTTTTCCCTTTTTTCTTTCCCCCAAGGTTTTTTGGGGTTTTTAAAGGTTTTTAAAAAAATTTTTTTTTTTTTTTTTTAGGGCCCCCCCCCCTTTTTTTTTTTGAAATTTTTTTAAAAATTTAAATTTTTTTTTTTTTTAAAGGGTTTTTCCCCGGGGGCCCCCCCCGGGTTTTCCCCCCAAATTTTTTTTGGGGGGAAAAAAAAAACCCCCCCCCAGGGGGGAAAAGGGGGGCCCCCGCCCCTTTTTTCCCCCTCCAAATTTTAAAAACCCCCCCGGTTTTTATTTAAAAAATTTTTTAAAAAACCCCCCCTTTTTTTTTTTTTTTTTAAAAAAAATTTTTTTTTTTCCCCCAAAAACCCCCTTTTTTTTTCCCCCCCTTTTTTTACCAAAAACCTTTTTTTTGTTTTTTCCTTTTTTTAAATTTCCCTTTTAAAAAAAAAAAAAAATTTTTTTTTTTTAAAAAAAATTTTTTGTTATTGGAAATTTTAAAAAAAAAATTTTTAAAAAAGGGGCCCCCCGGGAAAAAAATTTTTAAAAAAAGGAAAAAGGGGAAAAAAACCCCCCCCCCCCCAAAAAATTTTTTAAATTTTTTTTAAACCAAAAAAAAAAAAAAAAAGGTTTTTTAAAAAAATTTAAAAAATTTTTTAAAAAAAAATTAAAAGTTTTTTAAAAATTTTTTAAAATTTTTTTAAAAAAAAAAAATTTGGGTTTTAAATTGGGGAAAAAAGGGTTCCAAATTTTAAACCAAAAAAAAAACCCTTTTTTTTTTTTTCCCCTTTAAATTAAATTTTTTCCAACTTTTAAAAAAAAAAATTTTTTTTTTTTTTAAAAAAAAAAAAAAAAAATTTTTTTAAAAAAAGGGGGTTTTTTTAAGGTTTTTTTGGGGGTTTTTTTTTGGGGTTTTTTTTAAAAAGGCCAAAAAAGGGGGAAAAAAAACCCCCCCCCCCCCCGGGGGTATATTTTCCCTTTTTTTTTAAAAAAAAAAAAAAAAAATTTTGGGGGGGGGAAAAAGGGGTTTTAAAAAGGGAGGGGGGGGCCCCAAAAAAAAGGGGGGTTTTTTGGGGGGAAAAACCTTTTTAAAAATTTTTTAAAAACCCCCCCCCCAAAAAACCCACTTAAAAAACCCCCCCCCCCCCCCATTTATTGGCCTGTTTTTTCCCCTTTTTCAAAAAAAATTGGGCTACATTTTCGTTTTTCCATACTCGGTTAACTCCTGTTTGTCACAGGATTTCCTCCCTGAACCATTTTGGCTGTTGTTGATGAGATCATTCTTTCTAGGTGTTCCACCACTCTCCCTGATAATCTTCTCCATGACTTTGCATACTATACATGTCGTGACGAGTGTAGTTCAGAGCTTCATGTTTTCTCCTTTTTAAAAAATTGGCTACTCATTTGCGTCTTCATACCTCAGGTATCTCCCTGTTTCGATAGATGTGTTAATATTGTTGTTAGGGTACACAAAGCACCTTGCTCCCTCTTCAGGACCCATGGAGAGTGTTGTCTGGCCACATCGCCTTTGAGGTATCCAGCTCACTCAGCAGCCTTTTCACTTTTTCCCTCGGTTGTACTATTGGCCAATTGGGGGTGTACCCCTCCTCTCCTTTTCTGGAGTCCCATCGTTCTCTGTGAACACTTCTTGAATCTTGTTGAGTTCCTCACTACTTCTCGGCTTTTATTGTGATCTCCCCTCTTCCTTCCTCCCTGATACCTGGTTCTTGACTGGTGTTTTACTCCTGTTGTGAAGTTAGTATCAGTATGCCACTGTTGTGAAGTTAGTATCAGTATAACACTGTTGTAAAGTTAGTATCACTATGCCACTGTTGTAAAGTTATTATCACTCTTAATATTGGCAGGTGTGTATCGTAGCCCCGGAGAAGAGTGCAGCATCCCGTGCTCAGCACAAAACTTCCTAACACCTACTCGACACGACTTCATCAGGCTGACTACGAGAAGCCTGACCACCGCCGTCCTGCAACTCCAGGCTGAGCGCACCAGCAGCAGCAGCAGTCAGTACCACCTCTACACAAATGGTATACAACACCTGCACTGGTAGTAATATAATGAATGATTTTTGCACTAATATTGAAATTTCTGACAGTAATGTTAGTTGTAATGTCAACATTTGTGTTAATAAATATAAAATTAATTGTGAGGTAAGTGGAGCTAACCAGCAGCTCTCCAGGAGCTCCTGGAGAGCGAAACGTTGCCACAATAAAATGCCATATTAGTTATATCTGTCAATTTCATCTAAAATTTCGTCAGTAATTCTGTCATAAAATTAACTACAGTAGCAACAGTTATATCAAACTCTTATAAAAACAGCAAAATTATTATTATTGTTAGTGGAAGCAGTAAAAATTTTATGAAAATAATTTTAATTATAAGATGGTACCGACTGTGTTACTGGAAGACTTATATGTTGTTGAAAATGTGATGTAAGAAGCCAGGGACACAGAGGCAGCTACAGACACCGTCACGATGACGCCAGGAAGATTATATTTTCCATTCTTAGTATATTGACTAAATGAATCGAATTAGACAAATATGTGGTGGAGGCAAACATTATACGCAGTTTCTAGACAAGGTATGCATAGATCCGGAAGCCAGGAATAATTAACGCTGGAAGATAGTGTTTAAATGGTAGGGTTAAGAACTTCGAATGTACCATTGCACACACACAGACACACACACACACACACACACACATACACACACACACACACACACACACACACATCTAGGTAAGTACATCTGGTAAATATAATTGATACCGTACCAGCAGCATCCCACCAAGACAGGGTGATCTAAAGAAGAAAATTAATTCTTCGTCTTTCGCTCCCTTGCTGTCTTTTAAGTTTAAGTTGTCAAGCATAAACATCCTGTCAAATATTAACGTCTTCTCATATCATATTACTGATAATTTGCAGTACTGACATGTTGAATAAGACAGTGTACAATATTTAGGTATCTTTTCTGACGAAAAGTTTCTCCTCCATAGCAGACTTTCTCAGTCAAATACAGGCGAATACAATGGAGACAGTAGTAGCACTTTTAACCTGAGCAATCCGTGACTCTTGGTATGAGGTAATCAGTCCCTTCAGTCTAAATTACAGTCATGGAGTAAGATCTCAAATGCTAGAAAAAAGCGAGATGAAGCAGCTGGGGTTAGCGTCACAGGTGAGCGGGGCCCACTAATAGAAGTAAGTCATGCTGAACACTTGCTTAGCAAAGTGTTTCCTAACGCGGGTCTTAGTCATAAGATGACCCACTGCTGGAGCTTTTGGTCATCTGACCGACACCTTCCATGGGTTTTTCCCCCCCACCCCCTTTTTTCAGTTATTTTTTTTATTTTTAAAAAAAAAACGGGGAACAAAACGAAAAAATATTAAAGTTGGGAAAAGACTGGAAAAATTGACAGCGGGGGCGATAGGGAAATTTAAATTTTAAAAAGGGATTTGTTTTCCCCTATTATAGGGGGTTTGGTTACATTATGATATAGGGCATTTGTTTAACTGATGAAAGGGGGGTTTTTTTTACACTGATTTTATAGGGGCTTTTTTTACCCCTGAGATATTGGGGTTGTTTAAAACTGATTTAAAGGGGTTTTTTCCATGATATTTTAGGGGGGTTTTTTTCACTTTATTGGGAAAAAAATACCTTTTTTTACATTGGGTATATAAGCATTTGTTTACACGAGATTAGGGGCATTTTTTTTAAAAATTATGATATAGGGGGAATTTTTTTACCTTTATGATTAAAGGGGATTTTTTTTTCAAGATGATTAGGGGCCCTTTTTTACATTTTAGTTTTAAAGGGGATTTGTTTACACTATTTTATTTGGGGGTTTGTTTACACCCAATGATTAGGGGGTTTTTTTTACTTGATGATATATGGGCATTTGTTTACATTGTGTTTTGGGGGCATTTGGGTTTTTAAATGTTTTATATTTTTTTTCATTTGTTTTTCATTGATGATATAGGGGGGTTTTTTTTCCCCCAGATATAGGGGGGATTTTTTTTCATTTTAGGGAAAAGGGGGATTTGTTTACCTGATATTGGGGCATTTGTTTACATTGATGATATAGGGGGATTTGTTTACACTGATAAATTGGGGCATTTTTTTTTCATTGTATATAGGGGGATTTGTTTTTCATTTTATTTGGGGGTTTTTTTTCACTGTTTATATTTGGATTTGTTTTCACTGTAAATAGGGGGGGTTTTTTTTACACTGAAAATATAGGGGGATTTTGGGTTTTAAATTTATGATATAGGGGCAAAATTTTTTTTAAACAAGATATAGGGGATTTTTTTACATTGATGATTTTGGGGTGGTGTTTAAAATTTAAAAATATATGGGCATTGTTTTCATTGATGAAATTTTGGGGTTTGTTTTTCATTAATAATAATGGGATTTGTTTAAAAATAAGATATAGGGGATTTTTTACATTGATGATTTTATGGGGATTTGTTTTCCTTGAGATATTTTGGGCATTTGTTTACATTTAAAAAAATAGGACCTTTTTTACATTGATTTAATAGGGGGATTTTTTACATTGGGTATTTAGGGGAAATTTTTTTTACATTAATAATATATGGGGATTTTTTTTCATTGAGATATATGGGGATTTTTTTTTCATTAATAATATTGTGCTTTTTTTTCATTAAAATTATGGACATTTGTTTTCATTGATGATTTTAGGGGATTTTTTTTACATTAAAAAATATAGTTGGATTTTTTTTTCATGATGATAATTTGGGGCATTTGTTTTTCATTGGGAAAATATTATTTGTTTACATTGATAATTTAGGGGGATTTTTTAAGTTTAAAATAGGGGGAATTTTTTTACACTGATGATAAAGGGGGAAAACCCCCCTGTATACCCCTTTCCAGAAATTAACTTGCTGTATAATCGACTTCCTGTAGTTTTTTTTGGGCTGGGCCCAAAAAGTTTTTGTTTTTTAGTTATAAAATTTCCCTTCATTTAGATAAATTTTCCCCCTGATAATATTTCCCCCTAAAAACCCGGGCCTTATAAACATTTTTTTTTTTCCTAAAAAAAACAGTTTAAAAATTTTTCGCGCTGATTACTAAAGAAAGGTAAATGGGTTTTTTGTTATTTTTCCCCCAGACATCAAAAAAACAACCCCTTTTCCTTTTCACCAAATGGTTTAAAGGATATAATTAAAGATGCAGTTACAAGCCCCCGTAAATTTTACTTTTACCCCTTTTCTTTTTCGTCAAAAGTTTTGATCAAAATCCAAAAGTGGAACCCGGCAGCGGCCTGATGATGGGTTATAAGGGGGGCGTTGTGGGGATCGCTTGCTGCGCTGCTTCCCGTGACGGGCCTTCAGTGAGTGAAAATTTTAGGGGAACTTTAGGGGTTTAAACTTTAGGGCCTTCATGGGTAAATATTTAATGGGGTTCCCCTTGTGCCCAACTTCATGAGTGACCTTTTAGTAAGTAACTTTAGTGATGAAATTTCCCCTTTATAATCTTCATGAGTACTTTCCCGTGACCTTCACTGGGGTGCCCCTTACGGGGTGTCTTTAATGGGGTGACCCTTTGCTAGTTCTTCATGATGCTTCTCTATCAGAGAAGGGCAACATCTGTATCCAAACTTCTCCACTGAAAAGGGGCGGTGTTTTACCCGGCCTCAGCAGATATTCATTGTGAGAGCCCCCAATACAACCTTTTCTGGGGTTTTGGGATAAGGGGAAAAAAAAAAAACAAGAATCTGGAAAAACCCAAAGGGGGCATTTAACCAAGTTGGAAAAAGACAAATTAAAATTTTAACCCTTGAAAACAAGAAGAGAAAATTTTGGCATCAAAAATACCACTGCCCCGCAAGTGCAAAAAAATGAATAAATCCAGCTTGTGTAATTTAATGAGAAAAAATCCCTTTGTAAACTTTAAGAAAAATGTTTGTTATTGGGGAAATTTTGAAGGGGTTTTTAAAAAAATGATTTTAGTGAAGATGAGTGTGAGATTAGTACAAGCATTCTCATGTAAGCTGATTTTATGATTCAAACCCTTCTGATCAATGTTAGTGGTAATGAGTACATAAGGGAACCCTTTAAAAAAATTTTATATAATTTTAGAATGCAACTCCTTTTACATTATTTATAGGGCCCCAAAAAAACTTTTTGTAAAAATTTTAGTTCTTTTCATCCCTTTTTTCCCCCAGCACGCGATCGATTTTTGTCAGATTATACCCTTTCCGGGGAAAATTCTTTGCCCGAATATTTATCTTTGCCCCTTTTTCCCGTCACACAGTGCAACTTTCCGTCATCAATTTTAAACCCCCTCTCAAAAGCTTTAAGGGTTTTTTGGGCCCAAATTGGGGGCCCCCAGGGGGAGGCTCAATAATATTCAGAACCCGTTAAACGGGTAAAAAAGCAAGAAAGGGCTCATTTTTTTGTTCTTTTTCCCGTCATCGTGGGAAAGATTGTTCTTTGGTTTCCATTTTGTTTGGGAAAAACATTTTTTTGATTGAAAATAGGGCCCATTTTATTTTCATCACCCTTTTCCCGTCAGCCTTTATAACGTGTTGATTAACAATCCTCGCCCAAAACCCTAAGCCCAAATTTTTCCCTTTCCCCCAAACAAACTTCAGTACGATTCTTCTGCCCGCGATTCTCTTTAATTTCTCTTATCATTAGAACAAATTTTTTCGCCCCCAGTCCTGTCTTTTTCCCAAGCACATACAAGAAGCATGATCTTGGAACAAAGTAGGATTTTTTTTGGAAATCGCTTCACTATCTTCTTTTCTTTTACTGTTGAATTCTCCCTAAAATTTCAGTGACTGGGAAACATTCTTTTTGGGCCGGGGTTGAATAAAGGGGTGCAATTTGTGTAGAACAACATTGGAGCACTAAAATTTTAAAAAAAAATGGGCGGGCTCTTTTCTTAAACCCATGGGTCTTTTATGTTCCCCTTTAAATCTAAGGTCCTATTTTAAATATTCCACCGGGCCAATCACGTACCGGTTCAAGGCACCAAGTCACCTTTAGCCCCACCTGTGATTTTTTCCCAAAATTTTGCTACCCTTTTTCTTCCCTTTTCCCAAAT